TACACCCTTGGGATTCTGAGGTTCCAAGGTGGCATTTCTTATATGGCAGGGCAGCAGGAGGATAAATGGGAAGGTGCCCTGGGTGGCTTCCGCTAGGAACTGAGGAGTTCCACCACCAGGACTACCTCCTGGCCCCTCCCCCTCTCCCATGGCCTCCTCCCCATTTCTTCCTCCTCATTCACCCCATTTGTCACCCCTCCCCCTCTTTCTCCTCCCTGTATTTCACATTTCAGAGGCTGACCAGTGCTCTGACTTGCTTTTAGACCATATTAGTCAAGATTCTCTAGAGTAACAGAAGTTATAGAATGAATCCCCATATATATTTAATTTTTATGAGAGAGAGAGAGAGATTATATGTCCTTATATAGGCTTTCAGCAGAAGGAGTGGCCCAGATTAGAGGTGGACTTTCCAAGATCAAATGATCTGGACTCAAGGTGTTTCTTCCTACCTTAAAGATCCAGATTAGAAGAGGATCCTTCTACTTTAAATTAAACAAAATCCCTCACAGATGTGCTCTCTTTATTTGGGTCTTAGTTAATTCCAGCTATAGTCAAGTTGTCACTCAAGAAGGGCCTCCATCACACAAATGAAGAGAAAGTAGCCTGAATCAGCAGGTATTCTGTCCCTAGAAGTAACCTTGCTTGTTGTGCAGTCTGGACCTTTTTCTATCTGCTGCAAATTGAAGCATCTCCTTCCTAGAATAAGGTCAAATTGGTTAGAGATGTTGATATTTGGTTTCTGACTGCTATTAATGCTTCTTTGGCCTCTATTTGTAGGTACTTCTTTAATATTTTATTGCAATTTATTTATTTTGTATTTATTATTTATGCACCAGGGCAGCTGTTAGCTTCGAAGAGAGATAGATTATGCAAAATGCCAATTGTTCATCAGACAAGACTCCATAGCTGGCACATGGAGCTTAACAGAGAACATTATTGCATTAGATTTGTTTTTAGCAGCAGCTAAGAGCTTATCATACTATTCTACTAGTATCAAATGCCTTATAAACGTTGCTATGGACTAAAGAAAATAGAGAATCAAACAAACAGAATGGAAAGATGAGTCAGCAGAATAGACACTGAGATTAAAGGAGGAAAATCAAACCTAAAATGCAAGAAAACTTAGTGGAGTGTTATAGACTTATCCTCTGAAGGACAAGGTATAACAAGCTAGATATGAAAGGGACTAGGGTAGCTTAGACAACAATAGAGAAGTGGAGGGCAGCTGATGAGGTGATTATCACAAGCTGTCCAGCCTTGACCCCCCACTGGGACACCCAGGAATCTTGAGAGTTACTAAAGATTGGCTATTACTTCTCTGGAGTCTCCTTAGCCAATCCCGGAAAGGCTCTGGGAATCAAGATCTTAAAAATTCTTTGCAGAGGCTAGGGAGATGGTTCTGTGGTTAAGAGCATTTCCTGTTCTTCCACAGGACCTGAGTTCAGTTCTCAGCACCCATCTTGGAGCGGGGTGGGATGGGGGGGGATGGTGAGGTTCACAATCACTTGACTCTCCAGCTCCAGGGGATCCAACGCCCTCTTCTGGCCTTCATGAGCACTGCATACATTTGGTATGTTCTCTTTCTCTAAAAATAAATCTTAAAAATATCTTCCCAAGCTGCAGTCCTGAGATAGAAACAATAAACAAGGTGGCTACCTAAACAAGACCTTCATAATGACAATACCAGTTGATGTGCCAACATGCATGGGAAAAATTTCACAAGGTCCCACCCCTAGATGAAGAGATATAGCCCATCAATGGATGCTGAGGGAGGGAGAATCTGATTTCTCCAGAGGTAAGCACTGAGAGAGGTTATCCAGTCCCGTGCTCAGCTCTAAACACATGTATGTGTGAGTGACACTAAATGTATTCAGCATATATATGTGTGTGTGTATATATGCATATGTACATATGCATACACACATACTCATATAGGTGTTATGGAATTCTTGATCCCAGGGAAAGGACTATAAGCTCAATCCCATTATAATTAAAGGATTTATTGGTTACTGCTAGCAGGGCTACAATCTCTGAGCAAATTTGAAATTGCCATGAGAAGAGGGGTGAAGGAGGACTTTTTAAAAGGCAAAAACCACAAGAAGACCTTGAGTGTGTGTACAAACAAGCCAAGAGCTGTTTAGACTTTTAGCAGACCATAGTTATCCAAGGAGACATGCCATAAAGAGTGATGTGTTTGGTTCTCGTGGCTAAACATTTTCTTTAAGAGACTGACAGATTACTTTCTGTTTTCCTGGAATTTCTGACTTCACAGAGAAGATTTTATGACATAGGATGTGAACTTCATGCCATTTGGATAGAATGTTAGTTTTTTGGTATTATTTTTTAATATTATCTTTATTTATGTGTGCAGGTGCTTTGTCTGTAGACACGTCTGTGCACTGTGTGCGTGCAGCACTCATGGAAACCCAGTGAAGGCATTGGATCCCTTTGAACCGGAGTTACATATGGCTGTGACTTGCCATGTGGATACTGAGAATTAAACTTGGGTCCTCTGGAAGAGCAGCCAGTGCTTTTAGTGGCTGAGCCACTTGTCCAGCCTGGAATGAAGAGTTCTTTTTGACTCTGGAAATCTTTGTTTTCACTGCTTGCTGGAAGCGTGGGGAATGTGGTGATCTTCAGACAGAACCCAGAGTAAAGATGGTAGAAGATTTCATGTTGTTGGTAGATGAAACTTAAGTTTTTATTGATTGAAGACCAGTTATTAAAAACAAACAGCATGCGATTTTTGTGCTTCTGTCCAATAATATCCCCAAAGAGAGATAAAAACTGGAAGAACTTGGATTAGAAGCACAGACTACTTATTTCTTATTTCTAAAGAACCTCAATAGGCCCTTCTTGTTTGAAGTGTTCTTTGTGTATGAGGAAAATCTCACAGTTCAAGGTTGGGAAGTCGAGGCCTCAGGACCTTGAAACAGCTGGTCACATTCCACCCATGAACAGGAAGCAGAGACGATGAACGCCCATGTCCTGCCTCCCACTTTCCTCTCTCTATTTTACATAGTCTAGGATCTCCTGCCTAGGGAATGGTGCCACCCACCATTGATGGGTCCTCCCACTTTAATGAATGCAATCAAGATAAATTCTCCACAGGCACACCCAGAGGCCCTACTCCAGGTGACTCCAGTTCTGCCAAGTTGACCATCAACACTAACCATCATGAGTGTCTCCCCTCCTATGGCGGTGAGACGAATAAGAGTAGAACATGGCTGCTTTAGGGCGCTTACACTTTGTAGCTAGAATTAAACAGTGGTGGCACTGAAATCTGGCTGTACAGATCTTATGTGTTCCACCTCTACTTATCCTGTTGAGTACAGGCTGGTGAGTCTGCTGTGCTCTCTCAGAACCCTGGGGGAAACTCCCCCACTTTATCTTCCATCTGGAAGCAAATAGCAGCCCTTTATTTTTCAATCAAAGGAAAAGGGGAAAGGCATAGGAGCCTCTTTGGGAACAAGACATTTCCCACTTGCTACAAATGGAGAGGACGGTGTGACGCTGCCTTCTGGGTAGGGCTTCAGATGGCACTCTGGGAAGATGGACGGAAAAGGACTTGTCCTCTTTTCTTGCACCAGGTGTTGGTGGTTCTGACCCTTCGTGCCAGTGCTTCTCACAGCCACCAACACACATTTGTGTCACTCATGGTTCCACAGCATGCCCGGCTTTTGGGCTCTGTATGAGCGAAACACACCTAGTATTTTTCAATTAGTTTTATTACAGATTGGAAGGGGAAAAAAAGGAATGAGGCTGAAAGAATGGCAAGACAGAGTTAGAGCTGAGGAGATAATGGGAGAAAACCAGGAAATCCCTGTGGGGACTTTTGTGAAGACAGATGTGTAGTAAAATAAAACGGTGCCTCCAAGGGTAGCCTTGGGACTAGATGAAGAGAGTTTTCAAAACCGAGTAAGCGGGAAAGTTGGTATTCAAGCGGCAACTTGGACTACAACAGCTCGGATCATTACCACCCAGTGTCCTTGTGGTGTCCCCAAAGCTCCACTCATTCTGTGTCTGCTGCTGTCCCATTGTCATGACCTGTGTAGCCCAGGTGCTCTGGCAGAGTCTGTGGGATTTGTAGGGAATTTTGATGATAGGTAGAGACAGGTTCAGGGACAATGACAGGTGTGTATGATTTGTAACATTCAGCACAATTAGAGATGCTGTATCAAAGAGTGGTTGTTTTACAATTACCACTGTACTGCTGTGCTAGCACCTAGTTTTGAATGCATGTGCTGCTATATACATCATGTATATGACAAGTTAAAGGGCTCTTAACATTGAGCTGTGTAATGAATGCTCAGTGTGAGTGAATGAGAAGATTAGTGAATGGGAGTACAAACTATCCTGCTGGCAGGGCTCTAATTGCAAAGTGATTTGAGAGTCAGTGCACACACTTGACTGAAAAGTGACTGTGGGAACTTGGGAAACTACCAGAAGAGGGCAAAGGAAATGCCTCAAGACTGCCTTAGTATCATGAGCAACCCCCACCCCTCCCGCATCCATCAAACTGAAACAATGTTGCGAGGGAAACTACAATCCATAATGTAGCATCAGTCTACCCATCGGCAGTGTTCAGGCTGCAGTGGGAATCTGAGGGTGCGTAGGTGAGACTCGTGCCAAGGAGATAGACCAGAAGAGCCCAGGGAAATAGGACTTTTGTAAGACTAAAATGACAATGGTTCCATTCAGAACGCCATATTTTAAAATGTATCAGCTCAGTTTCCAGAACCGTGACCCAGAGGGTGAGCTGAGAATCAGGGTTGCAGAATGCCAGCATTACTGTTGCCTTGATTCACAAATGTGCTTTGTCTGAGCTGACCTGCAATATAGCTGGGGACTCCGCCGGGCAGCGTTCCAAAGGCCATCACAACACCACTGATGGCCCAGAGGACTCCTTATTAGTAATAAACATCATAGCACAAACTGTTTATCTAGGGATAGGTACAGAAGGGACGTAAGTGGAAAGGAAAATAAAATTCAAAATGCTATTGCAGCTGAGAAATGTTTATTTTTGCAATAGAGATGCAATCAGACAAATGTCCTCTATGTTGATAGAGATTAAACCCTGAGCTTCAAACACATGGAAGCTTAGGGCAGACTTTTTTTATGGCAACCAAGGTGAAAAATAATTAGCCTTTGCACATAACACGTAGTAGCTGCTCAAACACATGAGCCAGGGTCTTCTCAGCTGACAATCAGGGACCTCTGTTCATACAGACAGATCAAATACAAAGACGTTCTTAGTTTCTAGCTAGACAACCCAGTAGAACTTGGGCTCTCACTGCATCTGAGAACTAACTAAATGTAATTAGTACAAGAGGCCACGGGAGAGAATGGGATCAGAATTCAGAAGCAGTGAGGTTGCCATGTGTCCCAGACATGCTGGGAGATATCTTTCCTGGTCCTGCCAGTTTTTCTCTTTGGCTCTTACTGTGGGCCCAGGTCTGAATCAGAGAGCAGCCTTGCATGGTGGGTGACTTGAATTGCTGGAATTGCTGCTCTGGTGGAGCAGGAGAGTTTTTTTTATTTAAATTAGAAACAATCTTATTTTACATATCAATCCCAGTTGCCTCTCCCTCCCATCCTCGAATGTCCCCCACAGACTCCCCATCCCATCCCCCTTCTGCTCCCCAGGGAGGGTTGAAGCCTTCCATGGGGGATCACCAAAGTCTGCCACATCAATTGGGGCAGGGCCTAGGCCCTCTCCTGTGTGTCTAGGCTGAGAGAGTATCCCTCTATGTGGAATGGGCTCCCAAAGTCCATTCATAATACACTAGAGATAAATACTGATCCACTCCCAGAGGCCCCATAGACTGCCCAGGCCTCCTAACTGACACCCATGTTCAGGGTACCTGGTTCTGTCCTATGCTGGTTTCCCAGCTATCAGTCTGGGGTCCATGAGCTCCTCCTTGTTCAGGTCAGCTGTTTCTGTGGGTTTCTCCAGCCTGGTCTTGACTCCTTTGCTCATCACTCCTTCCTCTCTGCAGTTGGATCCCAGGAGTTTGGCTCAGTGTTTAGCTGTGGATGTCTGCTTCTGCTTCCATCAGCTGCTGGATAAAGGCTGTAGATGGCATATAAGGTAGTCGTCAATCTCATTATCAGGGAAGGGCATTTAAGGTAGCCTCTCGACTATTGCTTAGATTATTTGTTGTGGTCATCCTTGTAGATCTCTGGACACATTCCTAGTGCCAGATTTCTCTTTAAATCTATAATGGCTCCCTCTATTAAGGTATCTCTTTTCTTGCTCTCCTCTATTCTTCCCCTGACTCAACATTCCTGATCCCTCATGTCCTCCTCCCCCCTCCTCTTCTCTCCTACTCTTTCTCCTAACCGCCTTTCCCCTCCCCCTGTGTTCCCAATTTGTTCAGGAGTTCTTGTCCCATTCTCCTTCTCCGGGGGACCATGTATGTCTCTCCTAGGGTCCTCCTCATTTCCTAGCTTCTTTGGAGGTGTGGGTTGTAGGCTGGTAATCCTTGAGAATTCTAAGAAAGCCCAGTGTTGTTGCCTTGTGTCTTTTCACATTGGGGTAGATCTGAGTGGACCGTGGTGAGGAGTGAGTTATCTTTGCTGTCACATACCAGCTCACCAACTGGGGTGGGGAAAGTGGGTGGTTTAGGAAAGCTTTGTGGCACTTTCCATACCCACATGGGATGACACTAGCTCAGTTTAGCATTTTAAACTCAAGCACGAATCTCACGACAATGGGTTCTCTCATTTGAGATTGTTCGTTTAGAAACACACAGGAATGCGGCATTATTTCTTCAAATAAAACGTTCTTGCCTGTGTCATCTGTGTCTCAGTGATCCCTAGGGCAGAAATTCAGCTCAGACAGTAAACTCAATATTCATACATTAAGCACTTACTAGTAATGCACTGTGGAAACTGAAGAGAAGACTGAGGTGTCCTGCCCCCTAGGGGGTTGTAAATTGGGGGCAGGGCAGATGAAGAAAAGTGCTAAACAATCACAACATGATAGAAAACATGTGAAATAAGCCAAGACAGGCAGGTACTTAGGGGGTCCTGTTGAGGTCAAATGCTATCCTTAGAAGAGAATTTTGCATTGGAAATATAAATTCATGAGCCATGAGCACATCTGTGAAATGTAATACTGTGAGAATGAATGAGATCACTCAGGAAGAGACAGAGAAGTGGGGGCCCAGTAGGAGCACTGGTACCCTAGACACTCCATCGAGGAGTAAACTGATACCCAGGGGCCTATGATAACTGATGCTGAGGGCCTATGATGGAATGGTCTGCAAAGTGTGGCGGCTCAGAAGCTAAGCACAGGAAGCACTGGAAGGAGGAGCAGGTGGCCCACAGCTGAGAAGTGGCGTGTCCACCGCTACTAGTCATGTGTTGGCCTTAGGTAAGTTTTCTTTTATTTTAAACAAAGCCATGAGGGCAGAGTCCACATCTGTGAAATGTAATGCTCATGTTATATGCCTGACGCTGGGCACGGCATTTGGCACAGGACAGAATGCAAGATACAACTCTTACAAAAGAACAGAGACATAAAAACTAGTTTCAGGTATTTATAATTTATCTAATAGCAATTTTCAGGTTCCCAATATGGAGTTGAGTCTTGGCAAAGAATAGATACTTCCTTTAGCGTTCTGGGCAGATCTGTTGGCTTCATGTGTAACTCATTTCAATGTCATTAGATGTTCTTCAATCTAGATTATAGAGAAATGAACAAACAATAGTAATTTGTCTGGCTGATCCTCCCCAACCCCCCCATGCACACACACACACACACACACACACACACACACACACACACACACCTGATTCTGTGATGCCAATTCTGGCTTAGATAGCTGTTTGCAGTAGTGGTTTTCAGAACATTTAATATGGCAGCAGAAATTATGAATATTTGGGGACATTGTTCATACCCATTCTTTGCCAAAATAACTCAACTGTAGAATTATTTTTAACTATGCAACTACTGTTATCATCTGGAGGGTGACGTATGAATAAGAATTTGCTAACTGTTGCCCAGAGTATTACACGAATTCTAAGAAAACCAAAATCAATGTCAGGTTCCTTCCCAGTCAATACTGGGACAGAGCGCATGGGTGGAGTCAGAGACACAGGAATTTGATTTTTCCCATGCTGTACTTTCTGTGGGAAGGGCACTTTCCATGATCTGTACTCTGCTGTACCCTCTGTGGGGAAGGTACTGGTCCCTCTAACCAGTTGCTTTCGGCCAGAAGGGCCTTGGCCAGTGAGTGGGAGTAGACATGGCTGACGTGTCACCGGGGAAGCCTCTTCGGCACTTTCTGGTCTTCGCTTGCTCTTTCCTTCCACTGTGAGGACAGTGCGTCCCTAGCAGTGATTTCCCTTTCCACCTGGGCTCTGAAATACAAAGATACAGGGAAGGCGTGTCAGCTTCTAGCCATCAATTTGTGGGAAAAGCAAACAGTAAATGTTCCAACACGAAACGTTGAGGTCGAGGCATTCTTAACATATCCAGAGTTTCCTAGGGCAGAAAGGGAAATGTGGACGGCTGGTAGACATGAACACTGTTTCCCTCAGCTCTCACAGCACAGTTCCAGAGAAGCGGGAAGTAGGATCAGGGTGACTTGGTTTTTAGCCGAGTATTTTCACAGTTCACAGGGAAACACTTAGCTCTGACTGAACACAACTCTGAGAAGGGAAACAATTCAGTCTAGGCCAGATGAAGATTTGTAAACCTAATGTAGGCTGTGAGGGGCCTGCATATTTGAGAAGAGGTCTCAGTGTTTCACACTGAAATCCCAGTGAGAGTTCACAGCCACTCCAGAAGGCATCTTCTGTGTCCCCTGAGACACAGTACTTTTCCAGTGGTCTCATTGGGATCTCTTTGGGTCCCTACTGGTGGAAAGGGAGGGGTCTGTGTCCCAGAAGCATGAAAGTCTGGAAAAAAATCCCAGATTTAGGAGAGTTCCTTAATGGGAGTAAAAATTAAAAGGAATGATTGTTACAGAAAGAAACAGTGAGCCCTCTACTCCCTTGCTCTCATTAATTCTTTACCTTCTCAAAGAATATCTCCACTGCCATTTTAGGAGATCTGTCTTGAGATAAGCATGATCGTTGCGTTTTCAGAATTGCTAGGCTGCTGGCATGTTAGGGCCACGGGCTTTAATGTCGGTGCTTAGGAGGCACAAACAGGAGTTCGAGGTCAGTCTGTTCCGTAAAGTGAGTTCCCCATCAGTGAGACCCTGTCTCAACACAAAACAACAAATCAAAAAACGTCTAAGCTTTTCTTCACAGGGATTAGTTGTGTTCTGTGGTTAAAGAGGCCCCATAAAATCTTGGCAGGCCATCTCCTTCCTGCAAGAAGAAAGCAATCATATTAGTTAATTAGCACCCAACACCACTGTGTCACCGTTGAAGGTGGTCACCTTCCGTCTTGTGCCATCTCAAAGAACCCCTAAAGCACACCTTACCCCAGGAAAGGAGCATTTCCTGTTATAAACAAGGGTAACCGCCGAAAAGCTGGCTCTGAGCCATCATCCCGTTCTCTGTAGCCATTCACGACTCCTAGGAATAACTCAAGCCTCCAAAGCCCCTAAGACTGTGAAGTCTGACGCCCCCCCGGAGCTCTTCTCTGCCCGCTCTCGCTTTCCATTCTTCTGTCAAATATGCCTTCTTGCTGTTGCTTGTGGGTGCTGGCGGGAGCTCTGCCACCCCAGGGCTTTCCCAGCAGTTGTTTCCTGATCTGTTACTAAGACTGTATTTGGAGGGCAGGGATTCAGCTTTGGCTGTTTTACAGCTCAGTGTGTGACACAGCATCAGGAGCATTGTGCTGGCTCAGAGCGTATTTGAGGGATGGGGCCAGGCCTCTCTATAATTACAGGCGTGTGCATTTTAATAATATAGTTTCTGAAAATAGCCAAGTGGAGAAAATAACCAAAAGGCTATGTTTGTTCCAGATAGGGGTCACTGAAAAAAACAGCAGTCATATTAAACCTCCTGTGATTTCCACAGAGCAACTGGACTTCCTGGGAAGGTTTTGCTTACCTGGCAGCAACCCCATGTGGAGATGTCTTAGACCTATATGCCCTGCTGTTGCCCTATGAGCCTCAGAATGTGATCTTGAGGTTCTCCCGCGGTGGGTAGAAGTCAGTAACCCTGAAAACCTTTAGATTTCTTCTCAGGGTCTCTAAGATCACTGAAAACCTTTAGATTTCCTCTCAGGGTCTCTAAGATCACTGAAAACCTTTAGATTTCCTCTCAGGGTCTCTAAGATCACTGAAAACCTTTAGATTTCCTCTCAGGGTCTCTAAGATCACTGAAAACCTTTAGATTTCCTCTCAGGGTCTCTAAGATCACTCAAAGCAGGGCCTTACTACATCCCAGAGTCTGCAATGAATGGAGGCCAAATTCTGAAAGATACATCCATTTTTTCCCCATACAGATACATTTATGTAATTTTCAGGTCCAATGAAAAGCAAAATCAAATTTGGTCCTTATTCGCTTGGAGCTTACAGTCTAGAGAAGATAGGCACAATGAAACTAATGAAATCCCATCCTAGGATACAGTAGGAAAGCAGCAAGGAGGGAACAGTCTGAATTTGCCATTGATCTCAAGATGCCCGAGAAGCAAGAGTCAGATAGCAAGGAGAAGAGAGAAAGATTCCACAGGGGACAGTGTGTGGGAAAGCCCTGGGGCGGGGGAGCTCCCGCCTGCACCCACAAGCAACAGCAAGAAGACATATTTGACAGAAGCACGAAAGGGAGACAGGGTGGAGAAGACCTGTGTGGGGAGGGGAAGGAAGTGCTTAGACTACACGGTCGTAGGGGCTTTGGAGGCTTCAGGTCTTCCCTGAAGCAATGAGAAGCTGCAGGAGATTTTCTAATATGGGACATGACCTGCTCATATTTGCATTGAAGAGCTCACTCTGGTACCAGAGGCTGGATAGTTTATTCAAAAGACCATAAGCTGCCTAAACATGAACTGAGCAAGAGTGGCCTCAATGGACATGCCGAAGTGAATGGGAGAAAGCCCACAAGAGCTACTGTAACCATGGAATCCTGAGAATGAGAGAAATAGTCTTCCCCAGGGAAGGGCTCACCAACTGGGTATCCAATCCTAAACGGTCAGCCCTGACAACACACACACAAGAAGCACTATTCAGACACATCGGGTTGTATTTAGGAATATATCATACACATATGGATATAGTAGCAATTTAATGAAAAATGAGACCATGACTTTGAAATAGAACAAGGAGGAGCACATGGGAGGGTTGAGGAGGGGAGAAAAGGAAGGTGAAAAAGACGTAATTATATTATGATATCAAAAAATAAAAGTAACTAAAAAACAACACACCCCAATATATTTTGATCATATTCTTTCCCTTTCCTTGACCTCCCAGAGGAATTTTATTTTTTAAAATAAGAATTATTATTGGAAATATTTGAATGGAGAATAGGTTATCATTTATTCAATCAATATTTGATGAACATGTATATTAATGGAGGACTTCTTATTTGACCTTTTAGATTCCTCCTAGCTTTCGAATTCAATGATTTTAATTTCCCGTTTAAAACCTTAATTGTTGAAAATGAAGGTCACTGCTTGGAGTTGTTCATGTAGATTTTTTCATTTGGACCGTAAATGCATATTTCCTAGGCACTTTTAAAATGCCACAATCAGTGTGACTCCCTCGGAATAGGAGATGTGTTGTATGATAGAAACATTCTTTTCTTTCATGGCTGCATGGAGCCTTGACCTCATCTGAGGCAGAGGAAGAAACTGACAACACATGTTTGCGGGTTCCCCTCTTTGCTCGTGTCTCTCATTCTGAGGTATGACTCTGCAGTGCTGGGTGGCCTGTCTTACAGCAGCCAGATGATGGCACCGTTTCTTGGTGTAAGATGCATTTTGTCTGCTCTTGAGTCTTTTATTCCCAACCACAATGCATGCCTGTAGATGACCCTGCTTGGGAGTTCAGAGGAAGTGGTATGTCTATTCCTGGGCCTAGGAATTGAACTCAGACTTTTGTTTTCAGAAAGTGATACTTCCTTTCAGTGTTCTGAACACTGTTCAACCAAGCGCTTTTTACAATGGATAAAAATTACAGAATAAGAATAGAAACAACCATTATACAAACTAGCTTGATATCAATTGCCTTTATCATAAGAGGTGGGAAGAGTGTGGACAATATAGAAATAATAGCCAATTTTTGTGGCTTCAGAATGTTTACAGAGTTTTGGTCCGTGTTTATACAAGGTAAGACCTTCAGTGGGCCTGTCTCCACCTAAGTATGAGGCTTTGGGTTTCATATGAAAGGCTTCCTCAATTACCTATTTGTAAGTTAAGAATTACTCCAGGTTTTTACCTTTAATTCTCTTCTTCCTTCCTCTCTATCCTCTTTCCTGCCTCCTTCTCATCTTCTCCCCTCTCTGCTCTCTCTTTTTCTCCTTAGTGTGGATTCTCTCAGAACACTGGCAACATAGAGGCTGCTTTTTCCTAGGATGTCTTTCTCTTTTGGTTCCATGCTGTGTTTTACTTGCTTATCCCACGATCATCTTGTGTTCTGAAATTTCCCTCCTCAACATGTCCCCCATCCAGCCTGCAAGGCAGTGGTTCTCAACTTGTGGGTTGAGACCCATCTGACAAATCTCTATCTCCACAAATATTTACAGTACATTTCATAACAGTTGCAAAATTACAGGTATAAAGTGGCAATGAAAATCGTTTTATGTTTGGGGGTCACCATAGCATGAGGAACTGTGTTAAAGGGTTGCAGCATTAGGAAGGTTGAGAACCACTGCTCTGAGGGGAATGGGTGAGCACTGTTATTTTCTACTGCTCTTATTTCCAATGAGACTTAACTGTGCACTAAGAATTCATGTTCTTTTTCTGGCTTGATCTTGAGCTAGTGGGAGAAGATCCTGGATTTCAGTGGATAATCTATGAAGGTGGGGATTCAATAAATATTCATTTCTTCCTTTGCTTGTGAATGAATGAGAAATGGACATACATGAATTTTATACAATATGCTCTTCCAGTGAGCACATAAGGCACAATATTACTCCAGTAAGCATAGTTATTATATTAATAAGGCAAATCATCTGTTTCCTGATTTAGAGATGGGAAATTGCTTCTAAGTAAGTCTCACATCTGTCTGTACATCAGAATTACTTCAAGGAATTTTACAAATAGGAACCTTCCCTGACAATCAGGAAAAACACGTTCATATATTTCTACCTCAACTTGATGCTTCAACAGTCATGATTTAGATGTGTTTCCCCAAATTCACACTTTAGTAAATTGATCCTCAGTGTGACAGTGATGAGAGCTGGGGCTTTTAGAGGCAGTTAGCTATGTATTGCCTCAGGAATGGATGGATGCCCTTAGTTTTCTCGGGAGTGGGTTTCTGACAAAATAGTCCATGTGGTGCCTTTCCCTTGCTCCTCGTCCTCCTGCCTGCTGCATGGGGTGGGACAGCACAAAGACCTTTACTAGATGTGAGCTCCTTGCTCTTGAGCTTCTCAGACTCTATAACTGTGATAAATAAACTTATTTTCTTTATAAACTGTCCAATTGGCGGTATTCTTTTACAGTCACACACAGTAGACTGGGACAATGGGTTTCCTAGACCAGTGCATCTTAAACTTTTGTGCAAATATAACCTGCCCAGGGATCTTGTTAAAAATACAGATTCTGATGCTGATTTAGTAGATACAGGGTAATGTGTAGGATTCGTCATTTGGAAAAACAACTAGGTGATACTGATGACATCGATCTGGATGAACAGAATAGCTTGCTTAGACCAGTGGTTTTCAGTCCTAGAGTGCAAAAAGAGTGCAGGAATCAGGGGTAACTTGAGTTATCTGCAAGCCAGAACTCCAACACAGGTTAAATAAAAATCTCTGGGAATAATATCCCAGACACTGATATGCTCAAAGAATTTCCCCCAGGCGATTAAAATATTAAGATGGAATTGAGTGAGAATCATTGCTCTACAGGTAAAGTGACCATATCTATTAGTTGTTTCTTTGAATCAGCACAAGAGACAAGAAGCAAGGCCCTGGGTTCAATCCCAGATACTGTACCAAACAAACAAACCCCAGCTCTCCCTTGTCTGTTTACGAAAGAGGTTCTCAAAGCTGGACTTTGTATTACCTGCACCTTGAACACTTGATGTAAAAGCATATTCTTTTCAAACATAGTGGTTCCTGTTGATAATTCCAAGAAGTTAAGGAGGGGCATCCCAATGAGTTTAAGGCCAGACCAGGCTGCATATGGACAACTTGTCTCAAAACCATAATCAATCAATCAATCAATCAATCAATCAATCGATCGATCGATCAATTGTAGGCCTTCCCCTGGGAAGATAGAAATAGAATCTTTACATCAAACTTAAGAACATGTATTTGAAATTATCTCCAGGTGTTTTTTATGTGCAACAACGTGTTTGTCTGTAAGATAAAATAAAATCTCCTTGCCCCGTGGTCAGAGATCTTTAAACAAGTTGGTTATAACCAACTTTTAGACTTTTCTTTCCATACTCTCTGCACAAAACCCTTACAGTAGGCAGCTCCTGAGGTGGGCTGCCTCTGACTCATACTTACATGTAATCCTTCTTCTTCAATGTGGCTTCACTTTGTATTACGCCACTATAACAGAATATGGCAGAATGGTGGACTGTCACTTCTAAGATAGGTTGGGAAAAGACTGTGGCTTCTAACTTAGACAACTCTTTTCTTCAAAGTCCTAGCCATACTCCCCATGCTGGGTTGCCTTGCATAGCCTCGATGCAGGGGAAGAAGCTTGGTCCTGCCTCAACTTGATGTGCCATGCTTTGTTGACACGCATGGGAGGCCTGTCCCTTTCTGAATGGATACAGAGGAGTGGATGGGGAGGGGAGTAGATGAGAGGTGGGGGGGTAGGAGAGAATTGGAGGAGAGGAGGGAGGGAAAACTGTGGTTGGTATGTAAAATAAATTTAAAAAATTAATTAATTAAAAAAAAGAATACTCTATGGAGACAACCATGTTGAGGACTCAGGTCACATGGTGATTTGAATGAGAGTGGCCCAAACAGGTTCATATATTTGAATATTTGGTCCCCAGTTGGTGGGGAAGGATTAGGAAAATGACCTTGGAAGAGGTGTGTCACCAGGGAAGGGATTTGAGGTTTCAAAAGACTTGTGCAATTCCTAGTTCTCTCTCTCTCTCTCTCTCTCTCTCTCTCTCTCTCTCTCTCTCTCTCTCTCTCTCTCTCTCTCTCTCTCTCTCTCTCTCTCTCCCCTCCCCCTTGCTCCCTCTCTTGTAGATCAAGATGTGAGCTCTCAGTGTTTCTTTTGTTTTGTTCTCTTTTCTTTTTGGTTTTTTGAGACAGGGTTTCTCTGTATTGTTTTGCAGCCTGTCCTGGAACTCATTCGGCAGACCAGGCTGGTCTCGAACTCACAGAGATCCGCCTGCCTCTGCCTCCTGAGTGCTGGGATTAAGGCATGCGCCACCACCGCCCGGCTCTTAGTGTTTCTTTTGATTCACCATCATTGACTCTAATCCTCTGAAATCATGAGCCAAATTAAACACCTTCCTTTTATAAGTAGTCTTGGTCATGGTGTCTTAGCACAGCAATAGGAAAGTAACCAGCACAGACTCTCAATACCCACTGAGTGAGCTTAAAGTAGATCTAATCAAGCCCCAAGCCCCAGATGCCTACAGCCCTGGCTAAAAGCTCAGCAGCAGCCTGATGAGAATTCTCGAGCTAGAGAGGCCAACTACCATACTTAGATTTCTGACCCACACAGAATATGACATAATGAAATGAATGTTTTTGAGGCTAAGCCTTTAAATTTTGACGTAATTTATAATAATAGATAACTTGTATGCCTACTGGGAAAAACTCGTCTTCATTTATTCAAATCTTGACTCTATTCAAGCCTAGAAAATTCTAAGAAAATCTTTTTCATAGAGATTATCCTTTCATGAACTCTTAGGGCATTGCATATAAAATCAGTAGTATTCCTTGTTATATAGCTAGCACATGTTATAGTTTTCAATTTTGGTATTTCCAATTTTTAAGTTAGTTTTCAACATTATGGGCTTCACAATGACATTTTCATAAACATATCATTATTTATTTGTATTTATTCCTTGCAAATTTTTTGTATCCTTGGGTACTCTTTAATTGTAATTGCTGATGCTAGATCTTCTGAAGGAAAACTGTAAGCACATTGATAAGAATGTTCCCTTCTCTATTCTCATAACCTATCCTGATACCATGAATGCCACCAGGGGCTTTAAGTCATGCGTGGTAAAGATGGCATTGTAAGGAATGTTGACTGGAAGGCATTACAAGATCCAACTTTCAGTTTCTACAGTCATTTCCACTGGGTATGTTTAGCTTTATGTGCGAAGAAGATTCTGAATAGACATCTGAGTAGACAAAAAGGTGGCTGCTAGAATAGTGCCCTAATGATCCCCAAATGCTTGCATCTTTAGGTGTCTGGCCACCAGTCTGCTTACTGGGCCCCTCCAGACCGCATGCCCTGTGAACTCAGCCCTTCTTAGGTGGTAAACCATGTATTTTATTCCCTCGATTCATGGTCAACTTAGTCCATATCATGGAGATTACCATCTGTTTACAGGATTCTTCTAGTGACCAGTGTGAAGGAAAGCGGTATGTGTATTACCCCTCTCTGCCTGTGCCCCTGGGGCCCCAGAACTCTTCTCTAGCCAAGACAGAAAGCCTTTAACCTGAGATGAAAACATTTCAGAAAGCAACCCTACTCACTCTTCAGAGCCAGAGTTAAAACTGTTGCTGATAGCTTTGGAAACTTTGATTAGAATGCTGATGGAAAACAATCTTTGCTTTATCTGGTTTCTGCACCGGAAAGCTTCCGATGAGCTACAGCACTCATGATGGAAGACATTCTGCTTGTCACCTTGACATTTCAATACGAGGGTCCTGTAGGCAGCAAAGGTTGAGGGCCTGCTGGTCTCTCCACACAAACTCTTAGCAACCCTTTCTTCTCTCGTCAACTGGCATAGAAACCTCAAGGATCAGGCCTTGCCCCAACTCAGCTCCAGTCTCTCTTATCAGAGGTGACTGTTGATGTAATCAGGAGGTCCCATCTCAGATGTGGTGCGGAGTTCAGCCTGAGATGGTCTGTTATTGGGTCTGCTGCCTTGGTTTGACCCTAGACTTTCTTGAAGCGGTCAGGAGCAGCAACTGCAGCACTGTGATATCTGACCCACAGTAGTAAGTACCGATGTCTTTCATAGTTGCCTTTTCAATGCCAAGTATAAACTGACTTTTTGAAGCGTCAATTTCCCCTTTGAAATTACCCATTGGATCGTCAGGAGAACTATTATTTAGGTTGTATACTAAAATCAGAGCATTGTCTTCACTCTTCTTATACCAGCTCATTTGATAGTTCTTCAAGTCCCCTCCTGTTACAGTGCAGTAGAATTTGGCAGAGTTCCCATCTGAGACAGTTATTTGGTCTACTTGTTCCAAAATTACATCCAAAGAGACCCCTGAAGGAAAGAACCTAAAGTCAGAGAGTTTGCAAAGAACTTCCTCCACCCCAAGGGGACGGAGTTTTGGCTAATTCTAGGCACCAATTCACCCAATTATGTTTCCAGAAAAATATTCTAGAGATATACTTCCCAATGAGTAAAAGGTCCAGGTATCTGTCCTTACCTGTGCAGAAGATGAAAACGTAGAAGATGGGACTTTTCCCAAGCATGACTTCACCGAGGTTGACTTTAGAGGAGGCTGATGTTGCCCCGGCTTCCCTACCAAGACTCACCTCTGTCTCTCTCTCCGTGGGAACCCTTATCTGATGTAAAGGTGGTTTGATATTAGTCACTTCCTCAGAGAGACATGTGACAGGCTAGTGAGGTCATGGGCTGTCAGGATGGTAATTCAACAAACACACACTACGCCAACTATTGCAGGCCAGATAATATTTGGGAAATGTGAAAGTGTAAAAATATGGCTTCTGGATTCAAAGAATTCAGGTTTGTTTGTTTGTTTGTTTGCAGGAAAGTGGAGAAAACAGACAGATAGCAGTGACAGGAGAATTAGGCTCCAAGAGCACCATGGGAGAACTGACTGCCTGGGATGCTCAAAGCAGGGGACCGTGGATTGAGCCCTAGCAGCTGAGTAGGATTTTGTGTCTTGAGAGCTCTGCAGGGGAGGGAGACGGCGCCAGATGAAGTAAGAGAGTGTGAGAGTGCTGCCTGGCCCTTCCATACAGCCTCTTGTGTGGTCCCTTCAATCTGGCTCGTTGCCTCCTCTGGTCTTAGACCTTTCCCTGCTTGTACTCAGTACCTACAGGAAAGTACTTCCAAGTTCAAAGGTGTGTTATGTAGTCTTGATCTGTTTTTGCTGTTGCTTCTTCCTGGAATGACAATAACCTTCCATCTCCCTTTCCCATTACCACGAGGGAGGCGTCCCCTGGATTTCCTGAAATGTTAGGTGGTGGCACTAACCGACTTTATTCTAATTGTCTGAGGATCGGTTTCCTGTCCAGAGTTTTAAGATTATTTAAAGGTTATTTAAAACAGGGACTTATTTACACATGCACCCCCATTACCAGGCATAGATTAGGTCAATATTAGATATTTACTGGCCAAAGAGGATCTTTGTTTGGAATCCCTGAGTCCTGAGGAGCCCAGATGGCTGGTTGCTCACTCTAGTGAAGGCTGAGATTAGACAAAGATCAGCAAATAGGCTAACACCTGAGGTATCTATGTTTTCTGCCCACCTTTGTGGGTGTCTTCACCAACAATGTCACACCTATCTAAACAGAACTTGCAATTTCGTGAGGCTCCCTGCTTGGGTGGAGCCACTCAGCTGACAACCACGATGTAAAAGGAACATTGATTTTGCAGGGCTACCTATCTGTGGCTTGAGTCTTGTTTTGGAACTTGCCAATACTAGGTGATTTACATCTTGAAGCTTTAGTCTCCTCATTTGTAAACAGGGATATTTTAGTTACTTTGTAGGGATGCTGTGAGGTGGAAATGAAAAAAACACAGATAAGCTGTGGCTCCTTGGTGTGGAACGTATCTGCAGGCTCACCAGAGATGCTGATTTCTTTCTGCTGCCTCTTCTGTCTTGTCATGGTAGGTTGTGACCTGGTCATAGCTCCTGCCTAAGTCGTAGTTACCAGGGAAGACAGAACTTGTAATTTCAAGTCTGATACAGAACAGTCCTCTGAGGAAAGGAGGTTCCTGCCTAAGTTTGTGAGTTTGTCTGTAGGTCTCTGGACCTGAAAATGCAGGGGGCCGTGTCAGAGATGTAGTGCTATCTATCATTTGTACATTTAGGCAAAGTCCCTAAAGCAGAGAGCCTCAGCTATTCCAGCTTATATGGGATGAGCAGGGTTTTTAAGAGGCGAAAAGTGGGTCTAATAAAACCAACTCCTATTCCACACGTGCCCAGCTTGCTAGCTTTCTTTCTGATGGTCTCTTCCACTCTGGGGCTGTGGTACTGTCTGCTGGTCTCTAGGGACACTGAAGAGTTCATGGGAGAGAGCCAGGCTGGTGCTTTCTATTAATCAGACCTTATTCTCCATTCTCCACATCTTCCTCGAGTCTTTGAGTGAAAAGGGGTGTAGGTGGTGAAGAAGAGCTCTTTCTTTGGCTTATTGTTTATGCACCACCCTCAGACATCTCACGAAAATGGTCAGTGACAGTCCAATGGGTTGTCCCGTGTGCCTGTGATGGATTTCGGTTTGGGATGGCCTTTATCAGCTGTCACTCTGCTTCTAATGTGTTTTTACTTTCTCTGCTGTCATTGGCTGGCTGGATAATCGAGCAAGAACAGAGATGATGGAAGAAAGGAGTGGCATTTGTGTTTTCCCCCAGACAGACATAGGACCTCAGCTGCTGGGCATCCCAGGACTGCCTTCAGTAAAAATATGATTCTTCTCCTATGTCTGTTTTGAGTTTAGAATGTGCAAGCTGCTGGGATTTCTTTATTTCTTTGATTTGTTTTTTCCTGAAATGTCTGTGCCTCGTTGGTTGTTTTAAAGCAAACACGAGAGATTTTGCCAATATTCCATCTGCAATTCACTTACCCAGCTGTGTGGCACTGAATGGAGCAGCTGCCAAGGACAACAGCAGAGGTGAGCTGAGACTCCTTCCAGTTGTAACTCTGCTCTGCTGCTGCCGACTTGGGACCTTGGGATGTAAATAAATAAACATTTTCACATTTAGTTGCAGCTCAAGGTTTGATCCCAGTAGGATGTTTTCTTGATTCCCAGCAGCAGCAGCAGCAGCAGCAGCTCATCCTGGGATCTAAATGTCATAACTCCAGTCTATGCTTCACTCTGGCTACACTCCCTTAATCACTGCCAAGAATCAGCCTCTTGCTCCCATGTGTGCCTGGAGTGGCCCCTCTGGCTGCACTGTGTGTGCTCTAGCCCTGTGTGAACTCCACAGCCAGTGGGGGCTTGTGATGCTCCCCTTAACCCTGATTCTTGTCAGGGTATCAGGACACAGTGGACACTCAATGCACGGTGTTGAATTCCAGTATTCCAATTCTACATGCTGAGACTTGCTGTTGATAGTTAAACACTCAGCTAGTAGAATGTTCCCGGCCACTGATTCCTCGATGTTTGTCCTTCATAGATGAGATGGGGAGATTGAAGGGCTTGCTGTAGAGGTTAAGGTGGTTAGAATAGACTCGAAGTTTCCATTAGCTCTACCATGATGTTTGCTTTGATTCCCACAAGTTGGTGCCTGGAAACCTGTCCTTGGGAAGTGCCTGCCAGTCAATATATAGCATGGCAAGGTGTGGTCCTTCTTCCTTCAAACTTTCCTTTACCATTAGTGGTAGCTTGCCTCAGAAAATAAGAAAAATAACACTATTACTCACACTCAGCATTGGATAGTGAATGGAAGATCAGCGACCTGACAGGAGAGTCTCTTGCTGGTAGACAATGTATCAGAGTTCTCTAGAGTGTGTATCCTAAATTTTGTTCAACGATTCTGAGCACATGTCCTCAGTGCCCCTAAGTGTCTTGGGGGAAAAGCAAGCCCAGGAGAAGTCAAACTTATGAAATTGATCCAGTGAAACTAAGCCTTTGGAATATGATCCTAACACCAAATTCAACATAGAATCATCTCCAACTTCTCATCCCAAGAAAAAACCCATTTCATGCTATCCTGTACCTCAGAAGAGCTGATCTCAGGGGGTGTTGGTTGTAAGTGAGAAAGCCAGAAAGATGGCCGGGAATAAAACTCCCATTCAAGAACAAATAGGTTCTGAAACCCAGGAAAACATGCATCATTAGAAGAGACATGTGTATGTAGTATTTGTGTGTGTGCATGTGGGTACATCTGGAGACTGGGGCCTGATGTTGGATGTCTTCCTCTCTTCCTCTCTACCGAAAGAAGACAGCTTTTGCCCACCATCAGTTCCCAGCTCTGCAGTTCATACCCAGGAGTCACTATAGTGGTTTCTGCAATGGGTTAGGCTGATGTGGAAGTGTCTTTGGGCAGCCTGGAGCCTTGGGCTGAGCTTGACACTTTTTTTAAAGGATGTAGTAAGGTCAGATACATTTAGACTTTTGTTGCCTTGTTGGAAGTGGAATCGTTTTCAGGTTATCCAGTATGCTGGTATTTTGATAGACCTAATTCATTACCTATATTTATGTTCACAAACAGCTTTAATTTTATTTCTGGATGTATGTTTGTAAATTATTCCATTATTCTGCCCACTTAATGAGTGGAGGCATTGTTGTATTTTAATACCTCACAAAGTCCATGTTTGCTTGTTTTATGAGGGTCAAACAAAAATTACCTTCTTATTTGCTTTTTCCTATGTAGTAGGCCCTTAATAATTTATCAGCATCCTTTGCAACATCCTTCGAAAAAGATCTTGAAGGTCTTTTCAATTGTAGTTGTCTAAATTCCCATTGATATTTAGTTCTTGCTAGAGGGAATGTTAATATAGAAGAATGCTCACATTTCCAAGAAACTGACTTAATTCTGTCTGTTTGCTTTGTGTGGCACATGTATGTGTGTACATATGAGTGTGTATGTGGGTACCTATGGAGACTAGAGGTTGGTATTGGATATCTTCCTCTCTTGCTTTCTACTTTATTTTATCGAAACAGGACTGGCACTCAGCGATTCAGCTGGCCAGCAAGCTTCAGTGATCCTCTTGTCCCCCTCCCCTTGGTGCTAGGATTACAGGGTGAGCCACTATGCTCAACTTTTTTACATGGGTTTGGGGTATATGAACCCAGGTCCTCACATGTACAGGAAAGGCAGTTTACTGACTGGCCCTTATTTCTAGGCCAGAGATTGGCTTAATTCTTATAAACAATTTCCTAAAGGCTCAGCCCAGTCAACTATAGGAAAATGTGGTAATTGTTACCATGACAGCACCATCAAGAGCACAGTGGTTGGTGTGTTTCCTGTGTACAGGCCTTGCTCTAAATACATCAACACCAGATAGTTCACTTAATCTTAGCAACGAGTCTCTCGTAAAAGTTTTGATGAGAAAAGAAAAGAACAAAGTAACTTGTCCAAAGTCATATAACTAGTGAACTAACCAGAAAATACCTAGGATTCCTACCTGAAGAAATCTGGCTTCCAAGTCTGAATTCAGCCACTTTACTATGCTACCTACTTTCTATCTGCTCATCCATCTATCCATCATCCATCCATCCATCCATCCATCTATCTGTCATATATCTACTTTACTACACTGTGTATATAAATACTGTTTTTCAGGCGTTTAGAAACGTTAGTAAGCTATCAAGGATCTGTAATTAGGATGTTAATTGCTGGTCATGATTTTGCAT